TTTATTAAATGATCGGATCCTTCATAACTGCAATTTATTTAAAAGAAAAAAAACAGTTTTGTTTGAGCCCTTTTAATGGCATATAACTTCCTAAGGGTGCGTTTTAGGGCACATGTTAATAGGAACTTTTTGGCTTATTTTATTGAGTTATAAACGCAGTTTGAGTTTGGAACCATATTTTAGAAACACCCTGTATTATCCGAAACTGAAAAGTTATCGGGGTGGTTCGGGTATTTTTGGGACACTGTATATACACATTTAAAGTCAGTCCATCTTATATTTATAAGTCTGAAATTGAAAACGACTCGATTTATTTTTAACAGAAAAACTATTACGTCACTGTTATCTACTGCTTTGAAACGGGCGTTTACGAAATTTTTTAAAAATATATAAAATCTTTTACGAAATTTAGTTATTACTTGAATAAAATTTTCTGTAAACATTTTTATGCATTTATTTTGAGAAATTCCGGACACAATGGTGTAATAAATTTTTTTATTAAAAAAAACCTAAAGCTTTTATCTTTTGCCACATAAAAAAATTAAAAGAAAAACGTTTTTTACCAATCAATATTGAATTTACAAATAAATCAGCGCCTTTTTAAAGAATGAAACGTGCGCCAATTTATCTATTCTATTTTGTGACTCTACAAACCTCAATAATCACCGTGTTAAAACTAGTAAAAGGGCAATAAAACCATAATGAATGGTAGCTAATACAGTACTTGCCTCCCCATCCCTGCCGAGCCGCCCCGTCGCGTCAGGGTGGTATCGATTGGCTACCCCCCGATGTCACGCCACGTATCGGCCGTTCGAAACCCAAGGCCTTCAGCGCCATCCCCGATCGATTCCCAGCGTATTCGCGAACAACGCTGAATTCTCTGCTCACGTGTTAACCTTTTAAAAGGTGGAAAACGCGAGTTTGTTGCCAGGTGCGAACCCGTAGGACCATGAAGTCCACTCTGGACGGCGGACATTGTTTCTAGTATGGGTCCGCTGTTCGCGAGAAGCGGCAAAATGCTAAGGCGGGGTATCGGTAGAGTTTTCCTTTGGAATTCCTAGATTTTTTAGTTTCCATTAGGGATGGCTGGAGCAACGTTTTTTATGGAGACAGGTACCTACATACTGATCCGGTTTCAAAAAGAGCCTGTTCCGAAAAATCTGCTCCTGCTCCCAACTGTTCCGCAGTTCTTTTAAAAATTTCAACGACGCGATATTAACAGCTGCTTTTTGCTCCTAATTCCGACCCCGACTGTTATTGTACAGGAAATAATGTAAAGAAAGACTTTTTAACACTATTTTTATTGGTATCGATATACGTTTTATCCATCGATTTCTTTTTATTTTATAAGTAGTTATAAAATTACTTTCCCTACTTCTGTTCTTTCAACCAGTACAGGTCCAATATCAATTTTCAGTTGAATAGAGAATAAAATAAACTGTTCCGGTGGACCATCTTTACATTTTCATTTGTACCTGTTCCGTGTACAGTATTCCGAAAAGAACAGGAATTAATTTTCGATAATAAATGGGCTCATTTTTAATTCATATTCAGAAAGCTTTGTCACAATTAACGTTCAACAATCTCCCCCTCGAAGTAATCAATAAAATGGAAGCTCAGGAAAACGCACGGAAGCCACGTTGTGACGTCATACCACTCAACGGCTAGCCCACATGGCTTGGTCGCACATATATTTTATAACACCAGCTACAGAAGCAGGCAATAGCAAACAGATTTAAAAGGAAACGTTATTACAAAACGTCATTGATAGTGAAAAAACATTGATTTTTCGAAATGTTATCTATAATTGCAGACCCTGGTGTAAGAATGGAATAAGCTTGAATATGTCAATTGTTCAGAAGAGGAAAAAGAATTTTTTTTGTCAATAACCAAACCTAAATGACTATTGTTACTTTGTCTAGTTTCTATAATAACTTGTCGATGGTATACAATATCTGATCGATACATTTTTCGATTTAAACTTCAAATTAAATTTTATTGTAAATTTCACAATTTCTTTCGCCAACTGTAACAGTATTTTGAAGCAGCTTTCGAATATTGTTTGATTAAGTCACTTTTGCATTCTCGGATAATTTTTTTATTCGCTGCGCTCAAAAAGCAAAAATAACTGTTTTATACAGGGTTATTCCGTCATAGTGTCATTAATTTTCAAGAAAGATAGGGTAAAATGAGAAGAATACGAATATACGATTAAAATAAATTAAAATGCATATTTAAGTTGAAAAAAAATGTTTTAAAAATCATTATTTAAACCCTTTTCAGAACTGTCCTGACCGCTGATCCACAAAGGTTCATCGAGAGTGAATCTTGACCTACCGTATTATTCGGTCACTAGCCTAGGTTTTACTGCGTTTTTAATGCGTAGTGAACGACGTAGCATAAACAGGTCTCATGAATGAATAAGATATTTTTTAACATTTTAAATATTATTTATTTGTTAATAAAAACAAATCTATAAGGATAATAATTGTTTTTGAATGTTAGGTTGTTACAATATTTTTAATATTGTTAACGCTTTCGCTATTGAATATGAATTTTTAGGATTATGTTATTAATTAATTAATAATTAATTATTCAGTTTGTAGTACGTATACCTAATCACTTATTGCTTTTCAAAGAGTAGTATGATACCTACCTATTTAAAATGGCAGTACAGCTAAAACAACACTCATCCGTCCATAACACTTTGTTTATAAAGTCGGGATCTGCTGTGCTTTCATTTTGAAACCAATTGCAAAATTCAAGACGACTGACTGAGGAAATCAGCCGTTTCGCTTCAACGTTCGCCGGTGCATTCCTAGTCAGAAAATATGCGAAGTAGGGCGCCGAATTAGCGAGAGTTAAGGGATAATCTGCTTGTCTTTTAAAAGGTCGAGTAATTTCTTTTTCTATCGATTTTCTGTCTTTATTAGGCCTTCCGAATACGTGGTTAAAATTAATGACATTTATGAGTGAATCACCCTGTATATCATGCAAAAAGAAAATAAAACTTACCATTGATTCACCCTCAATGTGTCAAAATTTCAAGAATGAGCATTAGTTATCAGCAAAACTGAAATAAATAAATAAATAAATAAATAATAATTTATGTTACCTAGTGGTTTTTTTAAATTTAATTATACAGGGTGATTCATTAACAATGGGAAAATCGAAAGCTGAAGATACTACACGTGAAATGGTGACGATTGGCTCAAACATGCCTTATCCGAAAGTTGATAGTTTCGGAAATACAGGGTGTTGAAAGTTAAAATTTTAAATCGTTTTTTTGCGATTATTCTGAAAATATGTAGGTTAGGAACTTGAAAATTTGTGAAACTATATTTTTTTAGGCGACGAATAAGATGCGTGTTGTAATTTCAGCATTGCTCATAGAGGGCGCCACTTACGACCAATTTTACCGAAAATTTAGTTAATAACTTTTTACCCTGTATGTCTAACATGAAACTTGATTCAAAACCTGAAAGAGCAATCATTTTTCCATTAATTGTGTATTCTTGTTTCATTTCGGTATCTCGATCCGTTTTCGAGAAAAATCGATTTAACGAACACTATGTTTTGATAATACGAGAAATTAAAAGCGAAACAAACCAAGTGTTTCTTCGTGTTATTACAACAATTAACAATAAAACAAATGAAATTCGTAATAATGATTTAAAGTCAGTGTTCGAAGAATCCACCGTTGACATTTACACACTTTACACAACGTTTTCTGAGAGATCTTCGAGTTTGAAACAACATATTGGGATTGCGTTTGACTTCGTTGGCAGCGATTTGTATTCTTTGCCACAACTCTTCACACGAACCAATAGATTCTTCCAAATAGAAAAATGAAGAGGATTGAAGTCCGGACTTCTGGGTGGCCAAGTAAAAATGCTTCCACGGCTTGAAGAAGTTCCACTTTATTTAAGAAGAGACATGTGGTTCATGCACGACGGAGCTCCACCGCATTTTTCTTGGCCAGTGCGTGCATATTTAGATGCAGTTTTTCCAAATCGCTGGATTGGCCATGTAAGCATTTTTGCTTGGCCATCCAGAAGTCCGGACTTCAATCCTCTTGATTTTTCTATTTGGTCTCGAATGAAAGATATAGTTTACAAAGAATCTATTGGCTCGTGTGAAGAGTTGTGGCAAAGAATACAAATCGCTGCCAACGAAGTCAGACGCAATCCCAATATGTTGTTTCAAACTCGAAGATCTCTCAGAAAACGTGTAAAGTGTATCAGTGTCAACGGTGGATTCTTCGAACAATTACTTTAAATCATAATTACGTATTTTATTTGTTTTATTGTTAATTGTTGTAATAACACGAAGAAACACTTGGTTTGTTTCGCTTTTAATTTCTCATATTATCAAAACATAGTGTTCGTTAAATCGATTTTTCTCGAAAACGGATCGAGATACCGAAATGAAACAAGAGTACATAATTAATGGAAAAATGATAGCTCTTTCAGGTTTTGAATCAAGTTTCATGTTAAATATACAGGGTAAAAAGTTATTAACTAAATTTTCGGTAAAATTGGTCGTAAGTGGCGCCCTCTATGAGCAATGCTGAAATTACAACACGCATCTTATTCGTCGCCTAAAAAAATATAGTTTCACAAATTTTCAAGTTCCTAACCTACATATTTTCAGAATAATCGCAAAAAAACGATTTAAAATTTTAACTTTCAACACCCTGTATTTCCGAAACTATCAACTTTCGGATAAGGCATGTTTGCGCCAATGGTCACCATTTCACGTGTAGTATCTTCAGCTTTCGACTTTCCCATTGTTAATGAATCACCCTGTATACACTGTACTGATATGCATACAATATTCTTCCCACTATATATTTTTTTCTAAAAATAGTCTTCTACTATTCAAACAAAGAAGAGATTTAAAAGACATTTTTAAATCGTATTAGAAAAATAATGTTTTAATTTATTTTACAGTTAATGAAGCTAGCCAGGAGCGTGCTAGGAGAGAAACTCTTCATAGCGCTGATGAAGGCGACCTTCTACGGCCACTTCGTGGCCGGCGAGGACGAGTACAAAATCCGGCCGAAGCTGGAGAGGCTGAGGTCCTTCGGTGTGAAACCGATCCTTGATTACTCGGTGGAAGAGGATCTGTCGCAGGAGGAGGCCGAGAAACGAGAAGTCGAGTAAGTCGGCCGTTCGGCCCCACGTTGGGCGCCAATTTTACTAAAAACGCTCCGTTCTTCAGGTCTTCCGTGCCAGAAGCGGGCGAACCTGAAGTCGAGGGCTCCCTGAAGCAGTATCACGTAGACAAGACGTTCGCCGACAGGAGGTACAAGGTGCAATCGGCCAGGACGTACTTCTACCTCAACGAGGCGACTTGCGAGAGGAACATGGAGACCTTCATCAAATGCCTCGAGGCCATTGCAGGTTAGTTCGGGCGTCGCAGCCTCTGTGTCGTCGTCCGCCATTGTTTTTAGTTATGTCACTTATGGTTTGCTTGGTTCGTTTACGCGCGGCGATAGGGTTCAGATCGGGAGGGTTGAGAGTGTTACTTATTTGATGTTGGGAGAGATAGTGAGAAAACGAATACATATTTCATCAAAACTTACTGGTCAGTGGTTTTTAAACGCGAAAATTTATTATACGATATTACATCTGTGTTATTTCTCTACTGAATTATGTATTTGTCAGCACTGTACTGACGTCATACACGAAGCACTGATGCCTTTATAATCTAGACCTAGACAATAATATTTGGCACTAGATTACAATTGTGATTGATGGATCTAGTTTGTTTTTTGATATCCAACTGTTTCACAAGATTGCCAACACAAACTATTAATACCCAACGAGCCTCAACCAAGCTACTTAAAAATTTGAAAAATGCTCTAAACAGTTACTGAAACTTAGATTTAAAATTAAATGAAAATGAAAGCTTTGTTTCCTTTGTTTTTAGCAGTATTCCATTTGATATTAACAGTATGAAGGCATTAATCTCAGCCTTGTTCAAGACAAAGACAAATGAAAGAAGTCACATAAAGCGTTACTAGATGTGATTTGGACGCGAAACGGCGCATTGGTGCCAACTACCATCAGACCTTGGCTCAGATATTTTGTTATACATAGTTGTACTTTTTTTTACCAAGATAATGACGTGCACTTCTACCTTGCTATTTGTAATACAAATACTTACATAGCTTAGTCATTTATCACTTTATTTGTTTATTATAAAAAAAAATTACGTTATATTTGCACAGTCTTTCCTCACTGCAGTATTTGTTTGATTCACACACCGTTTTATTTTCCTTATGATATCCACAGAATCAGTTATCGTTTGGGACTGTGTTTATTTATGAGTCTGTGTTATTTCTTTCCCTAGATTTTCAGAAGACGACGTCAGGTAAAGTAGTCTTAGTCAGGAGAAGGGTCGCATATTATGCACACAGTACTGAAATTTGCAGACGTAACAAGTCTTGGTAATACCTCGGTTATACGAGTAGGTAAATGTATCGGAAATTGGGAAAATGCTAAATTTTATTAACCGACCAGATAAGTATGGAGTAATTCTGTAAAGTAGATGTTTTGCCGTGGCAAGGTACCAATAATAATACCGTGACACAGAATTTCACGTGCTTTCGAGGCGTCCTAAAATACAGGCCGGAATATTCGTGTGACAAGTGCGTTGCCCACTTGGAGAGGATCTCAAGAAAATAATAATTTTTAACACATAACTTCTAATTTCATATTATACACTGCGTTTCACTTTTTATGCAGCCACCCTTATCTCAAAGTTATTTTAGATCAGAAAGTTTTCACGTTTTTGTAAGAAATAACTACCTGCAAAACAATGTTTCTATCTTTGGAATAAAAATATTTAGTTTTAGTTAGAGTTAATATACAGCCAGGGGTTAGGGTTAAACATTGAATACTGATATTGCTTACATTACCATTAGTACCATGTTTATATTGGAAACTATACTTTTATATTTATATTGCTTATTACCGCAGAGGATTTTATTTTCTAAAAATGAACCAATAGAAAATTGTATGTACTATGAAAATGATACACGGGATGTAAGAAGTTTGACTGCCATTACTTCAGCATGAGATTGAATAATCATAAATGAACAAAAAAAGTTGTAATATTACAGGGGCGTAGATTCACAGTTTTCAAAATACAGAGCGTATTAATGTTGGGGAGTTTCATCACGACATGACAATAACGCTTAACCTGCTGATGCACACCACGTGTGCATGCGGCAGACTTGTCCTACGGAAAAAATGTAAACAACTATTATTGTGAAACATTTAGTAAATTTCAAGACAATTGTTTTCTAGTTTTCAAATAAATAAAATAAAATGTATCGATTTTGTAGTATGAAGATAGTGTTGTGTTCAAATTTTAGCTCGAATTTTAGTAATTATGAATCTCTTAAAACAGGAACTTAATTTTAATCAAACTATGCATTTGAAAAATATGTAATTCAAGTACCCAAAGATTCACTTCATCCAAATAATCATACGTATTACAAATAATTTAGGTGTTTACCAAAAAGCGAGATTCAGTAATTTTTAAACGCACAATTAAAAAACAAGCTACAACATATGCTCAAAAAAGTGATAAACATTGCATTTTATGGTATTCTATGCACGCACCTAAGTCAATATTCCTTAATTAATCGAACTTTTGTACTTCAAGTTAGAGGTTTTGATAACTTTTTTCTCGGAAATGGTTGAGTTTAGTACCCATGTCATATAAGGTTTTTTTGTTTATTTTAATGTATTCTATCGTCTGTTAAATTTAAGGCAGTCAAACTTCTAACACCCTGTATTTGGCCAGTTTTCGCCCAAATAGTGAATTTTCTGAGAAATGTAGACGTCATAGGCAAATTTTACTAACGGCATCGTGTTCAGCTTCCCAAAATACTACGAAAATTACAAATTTGAACAAATTTTAGGAATAAATCAATTTTGACCCATATCTGGACCAGTTTTCACCCAAATAGTGGGTTTTCTGGGAAATGTAGAGATCATGGGTAAATTGTACTAATGGCATTCGGAAAAAATTTAAGAAAATATCAGTTAACCTATATTTAGGCATTTTCATCCAAAAATTTCACTTTTCTCCAAAGTTCATCAGCAAGTCATGAATGTTGTTGACGTATTGAAGATCGTATTCAGCGGATCAAGTTCCTTCAGAAATAGGTTTGGACTTTTTTTTTGTACCCATGTAATTAATAGAGTTCAGGGTTTTGGCTATGATCATCCAACCAAGTCCCGAGCTTTAGTAATTAATTAAAAGATTTTAAATATTTTTACTACTTAATTGTATAAAGTTAATGGTAATTAAAATCATTTTATTTCTTATTATGCATTTATTTTGTTGTGAATGTTTTCAATAAACGTGAAAAAATTGCTTGTATATTTTTCTGTAACTAAAACCAAAATTTAATTTTATCAGAGTAATTGCTTTGCAGGTGATTATTTCGTACCAAAATGAGAACAAATTTAAATTTAAAATAAGAGAGAAATATGGGGGGAGGGGGGATTCATTAAATCTGGAACACATACATTGTAAGTAATGAAGAAATTATATAAAAATAATAACTTCTTTGAATTCGTTAACAAAATATAATTATCTTATTCGCATTTCATACTACCCTTTATTTATTATTGATACCTTCCCCGAATATACTGTATTTCTAAAATTTCACGCTTCTATGACAAACTATACTTGTTCATTTCTATCGAAGAAATGGAACTTGTCCGACAAGAACATTTATGGTATTACATGAGACTTCCCGCTGTAAACTTTTTGGCTTTTAGGGAGCCTTCGTTAATTTTCCATAGTATCTAGTTTGACTTTTCGCTTTGTATCCCATTATTTTGTAGGAACAGCTTCCGCTATAACAATCCGATCAAATGTCTAACGGCTCTGCCAACTTGCCCATGTAGGCCTTTGATCGGATCCGACTCTGGGTGGGGGTGCGCAGCCCTAGACGCAGTATAATTGCTGTTCCTCTTTAATTACAGGTGCAACATACGGCACTGGCATCACAGCCATCAAATTGACAGCTCTGGGCAGGCCCCAGCTGTTGGTAAGCTACTTTTTATTAAAAAAAAAATCTAAAACGTGACTTTTTTGTACAGGCTTTCGTAAAGTTAAAGTACCTTTCGTTCTAATTTCAGCTTCAACTGTCGGAGGTGATCATGAGGGCTCGCCAGTATATGACTGAAATAGTGGGAGGGGAGGGTAACGTGCTGTCCCATCACATGAAACACGAGGATCTCGAAGCGAAATTCGACAAGATAAAGGACAAAGAGTCCCTCAGGAAGTTCCTTAAGCAAGTTACGTACGATAAACAGGGGTAAGAGAAAGATTATTATTCATAGCTAATATTATAAATGATTTTCGTTACTAAAATTGCTTTTTGTGATTTAAGAATGGTTAAAACTTGTGAATTCTACACAGAAAAGTGATTTTTAGAAAGAGGAAAATGTGCTTCAAATTGTTAGATTTGTTATTTTACTGCATTCATTGTGACCAGATAAATATTTTTTCAGTGAACAAAAGAAAATTTATTTCTTTTTGAAACACTCACTGTTTGTGTCTAGTAATTCAGATGCCTAGTAAGTGTTGGCGGGATATAACCTGCAAAGTTAATCGTATCTTAATTGTCATTGCTACTCGATGCCTACTGCCACAAAGCATTGCTTTGTACCTACTAGCAGAGTGGCCTACTTTACTCGTAACAAAATAGTAGTACTGGCACTAACTATGTCGAAGGGAGTAAGGCGTGCGAGGGACGCGATGCATGGTCGTATAAACATACCTCAGAGACACTTTTGCTAAAGAACTGTACATATCCAGAGCATCACTCACTAACACATCTGCGCTTAATACTCGAATTCCCTCATATACATTGTTTATCATAAAACGCTCTTGATCTATTAAATTTGATCATTTATGACTACTTTAACTATCAAATTGGCCATGAACACCCGCACAGGATTCCACTTTTAGCAAGACTTATTGGAATAACAAATATGAAAATAATAACATGTTTCTAACTTATACGCTTATGACGCGCACTGACACGCATTATTTCAAGAAGACACCATGCAGCCTCAGTACCTTTTTGTACATGGTAAACAAAAATAGAAATAAGCTGAGCATATCGGAACATTGTGCGAAATAAATGGCACATTAAAATTTGCATGCAGGGAATACATAAAATTGCTTTATCAGGTTAAGAATAGAAAAAACTGTAGTTTGATTTATTTATGGATTAATTTGCACTGGAATATAATCTGTAGATACTATAAAAACAAGACAACCAACAAATCAGTAGGTCACTCTCTGCCAGCAGATACAACACAGTGCTTTATGTCAGAAGACATTGAATAGCAAACACAATTATGACATACTTTGTAGGTTATATCTCACCTACATGCTGAAAACATGCCATTATATGAGGCATCCAAGTAGCTAAATCCTTGGTTGGTCGTCTCACCTATGTATTTGAGAACTAATAAATTTAAAACCAATCTGTCTGGTGATTCTACCACCAAATGATCTTAGCTAGATATTGAGGGGTGTAATTCAATACTGTACGGGACTGTAGTCCGCAGAGTAGTTGTTTCCTACAATATCATTAGTTAAAAATTACTAGTGAGTATTTATTACCAAGTGTAATTTTTGTAAATGAAATTTTTTAATAGTAATACTCGCTAGCGATATCTCGCTTCATTTTCTATTTTAATTTCCCGCATATAATTTTAGTCCAGACAAAAAATCAGCCCGATGAACAGCCCACCGCTAAGCATTTTCTAGAAACACGAACTGAATAACCGCTATTTTCAAGTTGACACTCCCTGATATTCATTTGTTTATTTACCACAGCGTCCTGCACTTGTTCCCGTGGTCCGGTATCATCGACGATAACCAGGAGCTGAGCACTACGTTCAGGGTGCCCGACCTAAAAACGGGCCGGATGACCAGACTGATAACTCAGCTGTCGACGAAAGAGGAGGAGATGTTCCGGAACATGATCAGGAGGGTGAACACCATTGTCAAAGTGAGTGAAACAGCTTGATGCGGGAGTACCCCCTTTACCCTGTTCCGGCCTGTTTAGTGTGGTAGGCTTGTCTTAGTGAGAGAGTGTGCCGGTATGGGAGACGCTGCCGGGCCTGATGCCCCCTCACCCAGTAGGCCAGCGTCGCAAGACGCCCCGGCCTGACTAAGAGCAGACGTAGTTCGCCGGGTAATATGATGCTGACGTTTTCGTTGCAGGCGGCCCAGGAGATGGACGTGCGCATCATGGTGGATGCCGAACAAACCTACTTCCAGCCGGCCATCACGCGGATCACGTTGGAGTTCATGAGGAAGTACAACAAAGATAAAGCGATAGTCTTCAACACGTACCAGTGCTACCTTAGAAACGCCCTGTCAGAGGTGACAACCGATTTGGAACAGGCCAAACGTCAGAACTTCTTCTTCGGGGCAAAGCTCGTGCGTGGCGCCTATCTCGAACAGGTAAGTGAGCAGGGACACCATTACTGCCAGTAATGCAGCATCACCACTGATAGTCGTTGCCTAGCAATGTCATCAACAAGGTGATACTTGCTGTTATTGGTTGATGCCTTAACACTCTGACGGCTTTTTGGAACTGTCAGACAGTCGTAACATGTATTGCCATTATGCTTCTGGCTACAAATCGGAATAATGTGTACTGTTTTGTTTAAAATCATGCAACAGATATTTCTGCTATACACATGTCGTCAAAAAAAGATGTTAATAATGTCTCCTAAGTTGAAGTTAATTTCTAATAGCAACTGTCAAATGTCGGAGCGCGCTATGTTGATTCAATAATTTAGGCAACAAGTCTTATAGCAACGGTGTTGTTGCGCGCATCTTGCCTGCGCAGTACAGTGGCGGGAGTGAGATCGCGCCTGCGTCACCGATGAAATGTGTCGCCGCGCGCGGCTCTAGTCGTCTAGAGTGTGGTAGAGGGCGTGGCTCCGGGTTCGTACGCGACTCCACGTCTGCGCAGTTGGGGTGCTCACGTTCGTATGCGGTATGGTCGATGCCATTGTGTATGCTCGCATCTAACGCGCATGTTGGGCAATGGCGGATTTTTGGGGTTGGCTGAGCCTTAAGCCCCTTTCATGTTACTTCCTTCTTGTAATAAGGGATATATTTATCATATCTCCTTCCCGCATTCACATTGTATATACTATATACTTGAGCAACTACCAAGCAACAAGCTTTCAACATTCAATATGACAAAATTTCTTTGGTGTTATCAAAACTTTTGGAGAATGATGGCTATTATTGGTATAAATTTGTTTGAAAAAAAATATATATATACAGGGTAGCCCAATAATGTGACAAAGTTCAATATCGCCCTTATTATAAAGATTTGAAAAGAAATGTTTTGTGGAAGTGATGTACTTAAAAAAATTCACATTTTAAAAATATTTTGAATTGTACAGGGTGATGCATTAGGGCAGAGCATCTTTAAGGTGGTTTTTCTTAAATGGAACACTATTTTTACAAATTTATATTCTACAGAAAATTCTCTTTCCACCGATGTCTTTTTTTTTTGTATTTGATGTGGTGAAGCCAAGTTATTTGAAAAAATAAGATAATCTTCGCTGGGACAAGGTTCTATAAATCTATCCACTGTGCAGGTACTATCAGTAATTCAGAAAAAATATTTTGTAGGCATGCGGACCAAAGATGTGGACAAACAACAAAATACCAAATTCTTTATAATTTTATACAGGGTGTTCCACACATAAGCTCTAGTTTAGCGAATTTCGAAGGATATTTTCTCGATTTTTTTAAATGAAACGCACAGTAAATTATTTTATTTTTGGATTAATATGTTAATTACTTACAACTTTCGTAAATAATACAAACACCGGGTGTTTCATTTAAAAAATTCCAGAAAATGTCCTTCAAAATTCGCTAAACTGGGGCTTATGTGTAGAACACCCTGTACAAAATTATAAAGATTTTTCTGTTTTGTTGTTTGTCCACATCTTTGGTCCGTATGGCAAGAAAATATTTTTTCTTAATTATTGGTAGTACCTGCACAGTGGATAAATTTACAGAACCCAGTCCCAGCGAAAATTATCTTATTTTTTCAAATACCACAGAATATAGTAATTTTAATACTATTTAACGAATCTTTAAGATTTTAATGTGTGTTTAAAATTTTATGGTAACATAAACTTAATTATACTGTAAATCATGATTATAAATAATTTTATATATAATTAATTAGTGTTGCATGCAATACTTGTTTGTTATAATACTTTGCGGAAAACAATTCTATAGAAGTTAATGCCTTTTTAATTTAATATTAGACCATCGTCATTATCTCAACTCATAACATCTACCTCGTCTGTTTGTTAAAGAACTAAGTAAAAAATTTTATGTAAAAACTTTTGAAATGAGAAAATCTTGCAGGAACGGGCCAGGGCGGCAGCGATGGGCTACCCGGACCCCACGAACCCCACGTACGAGGCCACCACCGAAATGTACCACAACACGTTCACCGAGTGCCTGAGGAGGATAAATGCCTTCAAGGAGAAGGGGGACGACAAGAAGATCGCCATCATGGTGGCGTCGCACAACGAGGACACAGTCCGCTTCGCCATCGAGAAGATGAAGGAGTTGCGCATCGAACCTGGCGACAAGGTCATCTGTTTCGGGCAGCTGTTCGCCATGTGTGACTACATCACCTTCCCGCTAGGTGAGAAATAGTCTTTAAGGTCGGAGAACTTCTAAATTCGATGTACCGTTTTGTTGTTGTAGGTCAGTCGGGGTATTCCGCCTACAAGTATATCCCCTATGGACCCGTGAACGAGGTGCTACCGTACCTCTCCAGGAGGGCCCACGAGAACAAAGGTGTACTGAAGAAGATTAAAAAGGAGAAAAGACTGCTAGCCAAGGAACTAATTAGGCGTCTGTTCACCGGCCAGATCTGGTACACTCCCAAGGGAAACTACGTTCCAGTCTAAAAGTAAGGTTAAGTCACGAATCCCTAATTCGTTTGTTAATTCATCTCTTCTTGTAGGATTCTCATCCACACCCTTCGAATGTACTTGAGACGTCGCCCACTTTTAGCCGGCGGCGTGCATATTTGTAGATAAGTAGTTAAAAAGACGAGTCCATCTATGAATTATTTTTTAAAAAATGCCTGCGTGTATAAATGGTTCAGCTCATACACACCCGGGGAGAAATACGCGGTCTAAATCGCGCAATCTCCCCAAACTGTGATTTAAATCACTTTTTTGTACCCCCTTGACGTCAACGTCCCAGAAATAAATGGTAAACAACTAAAATGTTGTAAGACAATTGGGTATTATTGGAAGAGTATAACTTATTTATTTAACCCGTGGGTGGTGGCACGTCACGCAGACGAAAAAAACGTGAAAAAAAACTGCTTAGTAAAACGATTACAATAGTTAGTCGATAAATTTAAAATTCTGTACAGCTGTAATTGTGGATGAATGTTCGTTAATTGGTGTAAATTTCCTTAAAAGTTAATCAACTTGAACGCCAGTGGTTCCCTCTATTCTTCCTCACGCGGTAGCCGGAAAAATGGCTACGGCCTGATTAACGCTAGCCGCGAAAAACGCTTTGGCCTGCGCAACCGCTGTAGGCTTCAAAAATTTTCACTGGAAGGGAGCCCGGTGCGAGCCATTTTTAAATGCCTCGTTCTTGAAATTTTTTTCCTCTTATAAATTGGATATTTTAGCGCACCTCGACTTGCTCGTTTCGAAGTTCCCCTGGACTTTGATTGATTTTTAATCCTAAACAGTAGCGTGAGTAAGGTTTAAAAATTGATCAGAGGTAATTTTGTAAGTTTTATTTACCTGAAACATGAATCTGTTGATATTAGATATTGAAATTTCAGTCCCGATATTTGTTATAATTGAAAAACTTGTCAATTTCGACTTTAACGAAGGTTTGTTTCGCTTGAAGTACCGAAATGTAGTTTTGTAGCCTGTGATTTGGTAGTTTTTCATATTGAAAGAGAAATGTTAAGAACCCTTTTACCGTTTTAGTATTTTTTTAAAAACTGTTTAGTTTTTTGGTGTGTATGAAAATAAATCCGATTAAAATATTGTTTTTGTTTTTATTTAAGCGTGTATGTAGGAGTGTGTTGGAAGTCGCGTTGACATGTTCTCTAAGTTATTTTCCACAGCATTATTTTATTAATGAAAGAGATTGTCAGGGTTAGACAACATGTTGATGCTAAAAGTTACTATAAAAATGTGTCCTTAAATATGATGTTCTGACAATAAGTACAATTCTAATAAAGGTTATCAGTGTTAATATTTTTGTTTGCAATCACCTACTTCTCCGAATAGTACGATAGTTTTCAAAAGGTAAGTGAATTTTCTGGAATTTAAATATTATTTCTTGTGAGGATTTCAATCAAATCTGATAATTTGAGTTGTAACGAGAATAAGAAATACCAAAGTAACAAAAAAAAAATAGTAAACGCCTCTGCTGAAAATTAATGCTTTTGTTACAATTTCCAGGCTTTCAATGTTTAAACACAAAACTTTTTTATAGTAGTAACTGATAAAATGTTGAAGGCCTATGCACTATTCCTGGGCTTCCAGTGTTAAAGGCAAAATATTTATAGTGAGTAAACGAAAAAATAATTATGGCATGTAAGCGCAGTAAGGTTTGCAAAAATCATAGGTTTGTAGTAGATAACTGAAAAAATGGTGGCGTGTGTAGGCACAGTGAAAATCTTGAAAATCTGTTTTTATAAAAGAAAATTTAAAAAACAAAAAATTGGGCTTTATTGTTAAATAACCAAAAAATAGTTAAGACCTTTGCGAACACACACAAAACGTCTTTTGGAAAATTACATTTTTATAGAAGTCAAGAAAATATAATGAAGTCCTTTGTAGGCAGTAGGCCTTGAAAATTTTACATTTTTAAAGTAGATAATAAAAAAATAGTAAAGGCCTGTGTAGGTGCAATAAACCTTGAAAAACCTATGTTTTTATAACGGAAAACCAAAAAGAATTGCGAAAATTTATTCTAAAAATGACCAAAAATAGTTAAGGCCTGTATAGGTGCAGTAGGCCTTCTGGAAAATTAGTTTTAGAAATTACAAAAATAGTTAAGGCCTGAGTTGGAATAGTAGGCCTTAAAAATTTAACATTTTTAAAACGAATAACGAAAAACCAGACTTGTGTAGGTCATTGAAGGTCAACTTCGGAATTTTAAATGGGACCCCCTATTTTTAACCTTAGAAATGGATTCAGCAGAAAATTTTACATCCGGATGTGATCATAACTTTGACCTTGGTCAAGGTCACGAGTTTAAATGATTCGTCGCCCTTAAAGCAACCTCGGAATAAGATGTTGACCTTGAGAATCGATGGGATTTTCTGGGCACTTTGTCAAGGTCATTTGAAGGAAGAAATGCTACGAACGAGTGAGGGGAGAATGATAAAAATATCTTGTTACTCAACAAAGGTATAACTTCACTTGACAATTGAAAAATGAGATATCTGAGTACATGACTGACAGTGAAAAATTGAGAAAAGATAAAAATATCACTACTATTTGTGAGCCATTGAATTATGTTATTACGTTAGTATTCTGGATTTAAATCTTCAAATGAACTTTTTATTTGATCTCTTACTTTGCAGCATACTTGGATACAAATTTACCGTTTTCCCAAGATCTGATCTATGTAATACACGGCCTGGCAGAAAAGAAAACATAGTGAACCTTCAAATTCAATCCCGAACATCTTTCGCAACATTTGTTGAGGTGAAGGTCGATTTTTATAGTCGACCTTCAAGTGACCTTGACAAAGTGGAGGTCAAGGACGAATCGAAGGTCGTGATTGAGTTCCTTGATGTAAATCCCATCGATTCTGGAGGTCAACATCTTATTCCGAGGCTGCTTCAATTGTGACGAATTATTTAAATCCGTTGTGACCTCAAGGTCAAAGTTGTGATCACATCCGGATGTAAAATTTTCTGCTGAATCCATTTCCAAGGTTAAAAATAGAGGGTCCCATTTAAAATTCCGAAGTTGACCTTCAATTGACCGTCAAGGTGAGGTCAAGGCCAAATCCTAGGTAAGCATCTGGTTTCCCCCAGTGAACTGAACAACTTTTACTGTGGGCCATTTTTCGATTGGTGGCTTCTCTGACGAGATATTTACGTGTATCAATTAAAATGGGACACCGTATAGTGCATAACCGAAAATATAGTTAAGGCCTATGTGGGTGCAGTAGACTTTTAAAAATCCGGTTTTTTGACAACTAAAAAAAATTGCAAAAATTTACATTTTTCTAAAAGTAACCAAAAATAGTTAAGGCCTTCGTGGATACCAACATGTCTTAAAAACCTACGTTTTTATAGAAATCACTGAAGAAATAATTATGGCCCATGTTCTGTGTTTGTGCAGCAGGCCTTGAAAATGTACATTTTTGGAGTAGACAAGCAAAAAAGGTCTGGTAAACATGCAGAGAACCTGGAAAATTTTTATTTTTAGTGTAGTAGATTACTAAAAAAAATAGTTAGGCCTGCATGGATGCAGTAGGTCCTGAAAAATTTTAATTTAACCAAAAAAATATGGTAAAGCCTGTGTAGACACACATAAGACTGAAAAATTTACCTTTTTTGTAGCAGATAGCCGAAAAAATAGTTAAGGCCTGTGTAGTAGGCTTTCGTGAAAATCTGTTTTAATAACGGAAAACTAAAAAAATAGCAAAAGCTTAAATTTTTATATAAGCTGATAATAGTTTGACCTTTGTGGGTACCACAAATCTTCTTGAAACTTACATTTTTATAAGAATAAAGGAAAAAGGAAATAGTTACAGTCTGGGTTTGTGCAGTAAGCCTTAAATAATTTACATTTTAAGAGCAGATAACCAAAAAAAGTAAATAGACATACGTAGAATTTCATAGTAAAATAATTAAGGCCTGTGTATGTGCAGTAGGCCTTCTTAAAAATTTGTTTTAATGAAAAATGTTTAAAAAAGTAATAAAAACCTAAATTTTTCTATAAGCAACTGATAATTGCTTGGCCTTGGGGAACAGGTCTTTTTGAAACTTGCATTTTTATAGAAACAAAGGAAGCCAAAAATAATAGTGAGTCTGTGTAGATGCACTAGGCCTTCCTGAAAATTTGACTTTATTCTTCTGAAATTCTAAGTTCTGAAATTAAATTTTAAGTTATTTTATAGTAGATAATCGAAAAAATAGGACTTCTCAAAAATCTATGTTTACTTTTTTCAAAGTATACGAGAAAATAGACCTTGAAAAATTACATTTTTAAAGGAATAACATAAAAAACACTTATGACCTTTGTAGAGGCAGTAGACCTTTTAGAAGTAACCAAAATTATTAAGTCTAGAGTAGAAGTACATATTATTGAAAGTGAATGTTTTCATAGTAGATAAACGAAAAAACAGTGGAGCCTATTTGCAGGTGCAGAAGGCTTTGCATTTACATTTCTAAGGTAGATAGAGAAAAAAAATTGTAAAGGCCTGTGTAAAGTGCAGTAAGCCTACTGCATTTTTGGTAATTTACATTGTTATAGTATAACCGAAAAAATTGTGTTCTGTATAGATGCAATAGGAAATGTTTGTGTACTTTTTTAAAGTAATCAAAAAAATAGTACCTACATAGAACTTCTTAAAAATGTTATATTTTTACAGAAATAATGGAAAAATGGTTAAGGCCTGTGTAGGTGCAGTAGGCCTTCTGGAAAATGTGTTTCTTTTAGAACTGAAATTGTTCTTAAAATTGTACATTTTTATAGAAAAAAAAATGGTCAAGAACTGTGTAGGTGTAGTAGACCTCGAGAGTTTGCATTTGTACTATCAAAAAAATGTTAAGACCTATGTAGGTGCAGTAGGCCATTCTGTAAATTAAGGGTTTTTAATAATCTTCCGATTTTGCGGTGTTTAAATCACGAAATAATGACATTTTTATGAGTAATCAAAAAAATAGTAAAAAATTTGAAGAAATAGCACCAAAAAATTCTTCGTTATTATAACCTTTTGTATTTTTACTTTTGGCTTTATGATAAACCGAACAAATATATCAAAAATCACATTATGTACTTATCAAAATATAAAAGGAAAAACAAAAAAAAAACCAATACCAAAATAAAAAAAAATTCTTGTATTTTCCAAACTGCAACTACATTTTCCCTTAAATAAAAGAAATTACCTTAAAATAAATAATCACACTTCACAAAAGGGGGTAATTCAGCATCACGTCCTGTCTCGCCAACTCCAACAACATGGGATCGTCGAAGAATTTGTTGATCGACACGTCCTGACTCAAGCCCTTCCGCCTACGCGTCTTTATCATGAACTCCCTAGCCAAGTGCGTTGCCGGCTGCGGCTCCAGGGGCCTTATAATAATCGTTTTGTCCAATGGATCTCCCGGCACAATCTAAAATTCGGAAAGAATTTGAGTTTTCTTTGACGCCCATAATTATCACCTAGATTATAAAGCCTCGACACCGCGTGTGTGACGTCACTTCCCTGGTAACATACGTCACCCACAATCAGTGAAACAATGGAATGAGTAAAGTGATATGAGCCTAACGACTAAATGTTTGGACGAGTGATAATTTTGACAATAACGGTTAATAAATAAACGTTTTCTACATGAACGTCTTCATTTTATAACCCATTTAGATGACATTTCCATGACTATTTTACAAATAGTTAAACTAGTTCTGATCTCCACAAAAGTACGAGGTTTGATCAAAAAGTAACGGGAATTTTCAAATTTTGCGTGTTGTATCTGTCTATTGAGTCGATTCTTTTTTGTGTATTTGTAGCACTGTCAGTGACATATCAATTTTTAAGGCCTGTACATACAAACGAGATAATGTAAGCAGTGGTGGTAGCGATGGCGGTGGCGTTTGAGTGTAACAAATGGGTCAAATCATACGCGGCACTGCTTGTGAGCAGTACGAGTGGTCTTTGTAGCATTCTACAATGCGGTAGCGATAAGATGCCACTTGTGGTTGACCGCCCGTCACCACACGCTGTCAATATTTTTGAATATGGCTAGAGACGATAATTTCACGGAAAAACTTATAGACTGCGTAAAAAGCCACAGTGTATTGTATGATTTGTCTCATCCTTATTATAAAAACGTTCGTATTAAAAATAAAGCAAGGGATGAAATAGCAAAGATCCTCAAAAAAGAGCAAAACTTCAATTTCAGCGTTCATTTTAAACGCTAATAGGCCGTTTATATATGTGCAGGCCTTTAGGCAGCTGCCTCACTTAGTTTGCGTGTGTGTTACCTCAGCATTTTTAGCAATTTTTTGTTAGGCGAAATGTCGAATCAGAATTTGATATTTTTGTTAAAAACAGAAGGCCTTTGGCGATGATTCTATGTCACAGTCACGAGTTTATCAAAGGTACAAATGTTTTCAGGTATTCCAAGAAGACGTCAAAGATAAGGTGAGATCTGGTCAATTGTGAAAATCCTTCTAACTGTTTTCTTTGACTAAAATGGAATAGTTCATCACAAATTTCTACTGCCCATTCGTATAGTTAACAAGGAGTGCTACTTACAAGTTTTGGGAAATTTGCATGAGGCAATCAGAAGAAAACGACAAGGACACGAGAGACAACTCGTGGATTTTACACCACCGGTGTGATGCCGCAACCACCATATTTTCACGACATGACCTCTGTGATTTTTGCCTATTTCCCAAAATCTATAATAAAAGGATAATCAAAGGACGTTTTTCAACAATAATTGAGATAAAGGCAAACTCGCAAACTGTGCTCAATACGGTACCTAAAGATGCATAAGCGTATAAATATCACAGGGGGACTACTTTGAAGAGGATGAGATAAAAATTGAAAAAGATTAAATAAATATTTCCTGAGAAAATGAACAATTCCCGTTACTTGTTGATCAATCCTCGTATTTTGCTTAATTTGCTGACAACTAATGTTCGGACATAGCACTTTTTGCCCCAAAAACATGTAGGTGCTGCAAATAAAAAACGTCCGTTTTCCGCAATAACATTTTACAAAACTATGACAGGCAACTTAGCAAAAGAGCGCATAAAATAATAATTCAAAAATATAAGCGAGAAGAATAAAAAAAAAATGTCTGGCGAAATGAATATGCCAAAATCCGCAATTGGAGATATAATTAAAACGTACCGGGAAGCCCATATTGTAGACGTTCGTGGAAAATTCCAATGAACCGGTAAAAAGGGCACAAAGACCTTATCTGCAAAGAAAGACTACTGTGATAGAAATTACTGCGGTGCAAAACAAAAAAACAGACATTAACATATCGAGAGAATTTTGTCGTTAGTGGATACACAACTCTGATTACCATTTTTACCAAATAATGTACCCTTAGACGCAATAAACATTAACGTCTAAAGCTAAATACAGATTTTGTTTTCATCAAGGCAAAAGAGAAACCATTGCTGATAGAACTCCAGAAGAAGATGCATTTAGTTTAGGCTGAATTGAAAGCTACTAGTGAGACTAGATTCCAGAAATTTTCAGTAATGAGTCTAAGTTTAACGTATGGGTTGGGGATTCTAGTAAGCACTTTTTCTTTTTGTTTCAAGCGCTTTGGACTGCTCCAAAAAGACTACCTGTAGCACATAATACACCAACAAACGGTGTTAGTTTTGAATCAATTAGAAGCGTTCTCAAACGGAAGCGTATTAGTACATCTCAAAACTTTAAAGCATACCTCCAACAATTTTCATTCCATTTACTCTAAATTTTGACCGTAACTTTAAAATAACATTCCAAAGAATATCTACGGGATTTTCGGGAAAGTTGATTCTAACATTATTTATTGACAAATGATTGCCCCTTTTTTTGTCAAAAATTTAACTTTTTACTTCAAATGCTCGCCAATCCCACAAAAATTAATGTTTTCAAGCCATACTCTTGCAGATTAAGAGAAAAGTTTTTACTTTTTTTTCCAGATCAAATTTGCGTAAGTTACACGCTGCAGAGCGCCTTAAATTTCACACGCCTCACGAGAATGGCACCAGTGTCTCCATTTTGTACTATTTATGAATATATTTTTCTGAATACTTAAAGACATGGTTAGTAACATCCTTGAATATTATTATCCTCTTACTTTTCTTTGTTCAAAAAAAAAAAAAAATCACAAAAAAGTTTTATTTTAGAATTTTACTTATTGCACACACACAGCATCCGAGTTATTTATGAGACAAAAATTTGTACTTCCAAATTTATAAAAAAATTATTTGAAGGCAACGATATTAAAATCTTGAACTGGCCGTCAAGCAACACTGACCTAAGTGTCATTGATGTATTATGGCACAGCATAAAAATGTCCATGCGGAGCAACGCATATGGGAAAATTTCTGATCCTAAAAGAGAAATCCAAGAGATTTGGGAATTTTTTTCTCCGGAGTAAACCGGTTACTTACCAGTTTTAATAGTCGTTAATTTTTATTTTTAAGCTTAAGGTTTTGCTGCGTATTTTTCAGCTGAAAATAGATATTTTATTTGTTATTAACAAGTATCCCTGTTTATGTTACACAGTGTCACAAAATTTCGCGTCCGAGCAGGGAAGTCACTGCCGCCAGGTAGACCGAAAATTTCGAGTTAGTCGAAAGGGTCGTCAACAGTTTTGTAGATCCTTAGCCGACACTATGCCAAAGAGAATTCGTGTCATTATAAAAACGTTGCGAATTATGTGCCTTCCGAACATTTAGTTATTGGGACTCCTAACACTGATTATTTTACATCTTACCTGCCAGTGATGAAAGACCGACAGACAGAACGCCTGTCCCTGCGTGTGCGTCCTCAAATCAGTCTCGAAACCGAAACTGTCTATAGCCGGAATGAAAGCCTTAATGGTGTACAACGGAGACCCTGGCACTGGCGCATCTTGAGTGACATGACCACTAAAAACGATCCGCAATAAAATCATTTCTCCCTTTAAAAAAATCGAACTTACCGTCTCTTCGCAAGCACCGTATACACGGCAGACACGCAGTCTGCCGGTGCCTGCACTTCCACGAACAAATAGGGCTCCATCAGCCTCGGAGTGGCCATGAGGAAGGCGGAATACACCACCCGTCTCGCGGTGGGGATGATCTGACCGCCACCTCTGTGCAGGGGCTCATTAGCGATGACGGCATCCAGGATTTTAAATTTCGTGTTTCTGATGGGCTCCTCGCATAGGGGACCCTCGCGGGTACCCCACTGGAAACCCTGGACGATGGAGTCCTTCACCGAACTCAGAAGGGCCTTGTCTACTTCCGAAGGTAGGGTGTCGTCCACTAGGATGTTCGGACCTAGAAAGAAATATGTAGATAGAACAAAAGTCACCCGTCAGATTCAGGTACATCGGGGAATATTGAAATTATTTTGGGAAACTTCCATTTCACATTTTATTGCTTGACTTGTTTTACATATTTCCAAGTTATAAACGAAAAAAATTAAATCGTAAACCGATGAACTGTAAACTAAAACAAATGCAATAAAATGAAGCAGTGCCATATACGGCCATTTTCCTTTTGCCGAATAAACATTGACCGTTTGTTTTTTGTTCAACTAATGCCCTGTTGTCGTATCACATTAGATGTATTGATATCATATAGTTCGTCTAAACCATATCAATGTCAGGCCATTGACACTGAGATTCATAAACTAAACACAGTGGTTTCAAAAAATAGTAACAAATACTTTTTATTAATAATTTAGTGATTTTTTAAAATATTTCAAATTTATAAGACTACAGACTAAGTAATTTTATTTATTTTCACACAGAGTGGTTATAAACAAAAGTGTAGATGTAGCTTAAGAAAGGAAATATAACTTGAATATTTATTTGATAAAAGAAATAATAATTTCAGATTAATATTCTGGAAAACAAGTTTCTCTTAAAAAACGATCCCCACATAAAGTTACATCCTGTATTATTATTATGAAGCTCTGAATAGCATGTGAAGCAATGAAATTTAATATAATTGGAAACTTGCAGTGAAATTATATTTAAAAATATATCTCTAATATTTTTCATCAAATTTTTCAATGTTTTGAGTTTCAATTATTATGGAAGTTTATGAAAGTCTCATACACTTTCAATATACACTGTGTCCAAGATAAGAATGGGATAGCATTAGGATCTAGGAAACGGTAAGAGATACAGGGTGGTCCAAATTAGAAAAAATTGTGTTTTTGTATCCCTAACAATATCCGATTAGAAAGTTTTAAAATTACGGCTAGTTGCGGAGATGTCCGAAAAAAATCTGAAATTTTGCAAAATTGTTTAATTTTTTCTGGCTTTATTTGAAAACGAATTTTAAAATAAATTGCACATTTACAGTGCCACTTTTTCGCTCTATCCAATGGCATCAACATTTTTGTAATCCGACATTTCGCCTTCGAAGGGCCAGCATCAGGTAAATTTTTTTAAATATGTCGCTGCTATTTTTAAGACAAAATCTAGTCATTTTTAATTCTGAATTAGATGATATTACTATTGTAATCGTGTAATATTGTATTGTAAAAAAGGTTTTTAGCTTGTTTTAGCTATCATTTAAAATTTTTCCTGAGTACGGTTCTGAACGCTTTCAAAATATTTATTGGATGAAGTCATAACAGTATACAAGTCAATACAGCACAAAATATCCAACAATTTTTGTAACCACTATTAGCAATACTAATTAGAAATAATAAAACATTTCATAAATTTATATAATTTTTTTATTATACAACTTTTTTAAATTATTGATTAAAAAAAATTGTTGGATTACATTAGTAATATCATCTAAATCAGAATTAAAAATGACTAGATTTTGTCAAAAATAGCAGCGTATTTAAAAAAATTAACCTGATGATGGCCCCTCGAAGACGAAACGTCGGATTGAAAAAAAGTTGACGCCAATGGATAGAGCGGAAAAATTGACATTGTAAATATGTAATTTATTTTAAAATTCGTTTTCAAATAGTCAGAAAAAAATAAAACGATTCTGCAAAATTCGGGTTCCAAATGGCGTATTGTTAGGTATAAAAAAAAACAACTTTTTTCTAATTTGAGCCACCCGATATCTCTTACCGTTTCCTAGATCCACATGGTATCCCATCCATATCTTGGACACACTGTATATAATTATTTTGCAAGACACACTTTTTTAATTAGGTAAAAAAATGAAAAAATCAAATTATTTCAAACAATTTCATTTTGTATAATTCTTAACCTGTACATTCGAAGTTTAACAACACTAGTTCCGACAAAAGCCGGCCACCGAAAAAACGAATACTCCTTTATTTTCCAGTTGTCTAGAGTTCACAGCCTACTTCAATAGAAATGACATGTTATAGAAATATGTTACAAAAAGGCCCTGTAGCAGCTCCTTGAGGCACACTTGTGTAAATTCGATAAAATAAAGCGAAAAAATCCAAGTATTTTAAATGTTATTTAATTTCGTGTAATATCTAACCTGTATTATCCGGTCCAAAAGCCCATATGCTTCTGGCGGCTAGTAAATCCCAATCGTACTTGGTCTGGAAGAACTCGCCCAACTTTTTCTTGTTCCAGTTAATTTGAACGTTTTCGTTCTCGATGTCCTCCGCCAGGCCTTTCTCTAGCGGTTCAGCGATCATGGTGAGCTTGTTCTTTTTATTTGGGGTTTCGGCAAAACATTTTAAGCTGGACGTCTCCACGACAGTCTCGCAAAAGGCCACTACCGGGTCAGCAACTACAAAAAAAACATTCAAAATTTGAAAACGTTATTTTCTGACATTTGCTATAAGATTTTTAAAAAATAACAGACTGTGGAGTGCACTGAAAAGCTTCCGTTACCTTTTATGTCTATTTCGGAGTACATTTTGCGGAGGTCGTGCATGACGCAGTCCAGATAGAGCTCTCCCGTGCCTAGTACGACGTGTTCGCCGCTTTCTTCCACTTTTGTGGTAAGCAACGGGTACGACTTGTTCACTTTCCGCAAGCCGTCCAACATTTTCGGTAGTTCGGACGGATTTACGGGTTCCACTGGAAAAAAATGTACACGTATGTATCAAAATAAATTTTTTTTACATGACGATTCTCTCGATCAGAATAATAGAATTGGCCGCCATATAGTCCAGATTTTAACCCAGCTAAACTAGAAAAATGAAAGATTCTCCATTTATTATTGAAGTTTTTTGTTTACCCGCAATTTTGATGATGCTCTGGGTGTTGAACTTCAGCGGCCTGAAGATATAGAGATCGTCGTGGATCGTCAGATCTGTGATTGTAGCGGTTTTGACAATAGACTGGTCGATGCCCTCAATAAGCACCCAATTACCTGCAGGTACCCTGTTCAGCTCCACTTTGTACCTAAAACAAGAATCTTCACCACTGCAACGCTATGAATGTTCCTTCAGTACTACCTGGACTCGTAAATCCACAACCGCCCAATCGTGAGTACCCTAGAGTCTTCCTCGTCTTGCAGTGTGTAGTTTTCACCCAAAATTCTAACGTCCGTGCCGGCGTGCAGCGTACCGCTCATCACCCTTCCCAGAACTTGGAAGAATGTGCAGTCTTCTGTGGGGTACATCTTCGAGCTGTGCACCTAAGATATTATAAACCTTTAAAACGGAAAAGGGTGCTTCGAGGCACCGTACTAGGGCCGCATTTATTTCCCAGTCCAAATTGATGACAATATTAATTGAAAATAAAACCGATATCAAGAAAAAAATGTTGCAATGTAATGTAAAAAACTGTTGTATCTGAAAGTACTATACAGGGGTGATTCAGAACTTATCCAAATAAAAAAAAAATTTTTGGATGTACTGGGGGCTCCTGCAAATACAATTTTGTAAAAAAAATCAAAAAGGGCAGTTCGAAAATGATTTAAAAATACACTTCTGCATGGCACTGTAAAATCTACAAACTAACACAAATGTTGTCTTGCTTCACCATAATACAAATGTCTTGCTTCACCATAAATTAAAACAATATCCATCAACTCTGAGTTGCTATACATGTAAGCCATTTTGTAAAACTATTGTAAATACTATCGCAATGACGTTAATACTAATTGTAAAATCGGATTTCAGTATTTGGAATCGCTAGTCACGTGGCTCCCATGCACATTGCGTAATGCGCACAACGCCAATGGCTCTTGACACTACAGTTGTCCAGCAATGTAATGGCGAAAGTACTACAACTTCAATAATTTTTTTCTCGGAAACTACATGAGGATTTTACAAAAATTTTTTTTACGATATTGACTCCATTTTTCATTAACTCAAGCCAACGTAGTTACAAAAAAATAATAAACGCCAACACTTCCAACACCGTTTTTCTTGGAATGTTTGGACAAAGACCGTTAACAATTGCTTAAATGAACCGTTGTTATTACCGAATCGGATTGATGGTTCGTAGAATCTCAAATTTCCTCAAAAAGATCTGCCTGGACTTCTTGAAGACGTACAACTTAGCTGTTCGACAGCGATTGTGGTTCTTGGTCGTTGGTGTTCAAGTTTAAAAAGTACGGAGGATTAGAAAAGGAGGACCGATAGTATAGCCACCACTTTCGCCTGACTTAAACCCACTGACATTTTATTATTGATGGGTTATGTGCAAGTATTACTGCTGCTACCAATAATTTACAACTGCAAGACCAGCGAGAAGAAGCAACATTTCTTTTGGGATCATCAAAACTGTATTATACGTGTCCAGATACTGCTACGAGTCAGTGGACAAAATTCTGAACAGTTGTAATTTCAAAACACATTAAAATAGTAATTAACATTTACTGATAACATTCAATAGCAGGAATTAATAACAATAATAAAAAAAGTGGAATTTCTCATTAAATTCTTCTCTTTTTTTTTGTATGTACTTTGTTCATGACGAATGATTTTGCGGTGTTGCCAATTTGCAAGTCAGTGTTTATTTTTTATATTTTTCGTGTCTAAAATGAAAAAATTTAAAAATATTCGATTTCCATATTTTGGGCACAAATGGACATTTATACAATATTGCAGTTGCGATGAAAGTAGGCCATGGACATGGAACAGTCAAATGCTACGATAATTTCAATTGTTTTCGGTTCACAGCCTACTTCAATAAAAAATGACATACTTAATAAACTTGTTATATTAAGGCCCTGGAACAGCTCCTTGAGGCACGCTTGTGTCAATTAGATCAAAAATTAAAAAACAATTAGTTTACTTCGAATACAATTTCATTTCATGGAATTCCTAACCTGTATTAACTGGTCCGAAAGCACATATAGTCATATACCGAAAAAAAAATGTACTTACCATTAAAAGCCCCTCTTGGTCGCAGTTGATCATGTCATCGTATATTTTGCTGGTGTTGGGGCCTGTGTAGATGTGATCCACCTTCGTTTTTGCGTTGTCCAAGGGAGATCTGATGTGTTCCACGCACATGTTCACAAAGCCTGCAATAAAATGTGTTCCGATCAATTGTTCTAATCGATTCGCAGAATATTTGGACTTACCGTTGAAATCGCCCAAAAATTTGCCACACACCAGCCTCAGCAACGGTCTGATGTTGAGTCTCATCTCGTTTTTGGTCAGTTTAATACCCAGTTCGTCCAGTACGTCCGGTAAAGTCGAGTCCACGTCTCCCACGACTTGAGCGAAGATTTTGTACAGCGGTTCGAGGATGAACTCGACGAAACTTCTTTGTGCAGAGTTATGTGGCGCTTTCCTTGTGAATTTTCTCCTAAAACGTTAAAATTATTATTAATAGTCACAAAAATCGTTACTATTCTAGTTACTGACGTTTTATTATTGAAATATATGTCGCCCCACAACCGTTTCGAAAATTCCTCCACGTTTACCTCCCCGTAGTACAAATTGTAGATATTCGCAAAGGATTTCAAGGTAAAACACACGCCGTACTGCGAACTAGCAAAACAAACGTTGCCGAGTACAGGAGACACGATATAAGGATTAGCGTCATCGGAATACAACCTGAAAAAAATTGATTAAAACTCGTCAACGTAAAAATTTCATTGCCTTACGTTAACAGTCCGTTTATCTCTTCGACAATATGCCGCAGCTTGTAGTAAGCGTCCTGAGGGGGTAACTTCAGTTCCAAAATTAACCTGTCGATTTTGTTTATACAAATCGTGATCTGCATTTGCTCCTGGACTGCGTGTTTGAGGAGGCGTTCCGTGTTTAACATAACGCCTTCGGCTGCATCGACAAACAGTACGACTCCGTCACACAGCCTCATGGCTGCTGTGACTTCGTCAGAAAAATTTACATGTCCTAAAAAAAATTGAAATGTCTAACAAGTATTTTTTAAGAAGCTCTTTCTTACCTGGTGTGTCGAAAATGTTCATCAAATAACTTTTATTTTTAACGTCTTGCAAAAGCAACGTAACCGGAATGGATTTTATCGAACAACCCCTCTCTTGTTCGGTGAAGAGGGTGTCAGTGTACCGCAGGTTCTTTTCTTCGTTATCTTGATACCCCGGATGCGTCTGACGAATTAAACAATCAACGAAAGACGTTTTGCCGTGATGCAAATGCCCAACGAGAGCCACGTTCCTGATCAGCGAAGTGTTGTCCATCATATCAGCCAAGAACCTAAAAAAAATTAAATGAACACAAAACCAAAGTTTTCGAAGCTACATACTCCATGCTGTATACTGTTTCAGGCAATTCTTGTTCTTTAAGCTGGAATTTTTTCTTCTTGACAGGCTCTATCAGAGGAACGTCAAGCGGTTGTGCGTCCTCTTCCTGAACGATCGTTTCGACGTCGGGCCCATACACTTGTAAAGCGGAAGGATAGTACTGCTTATCTTCATGTAGTACAATAGCCATTGGTTGTGGTTCATCTTCCATTTGTTCATCCTGAAAATAAATTGTGATAAGATCAGTTTTAGTACCTAGGAAAAAATTATGTATTACATACATCGTAATCTTGGTGCTCATCTTCGTCGTGATGCTCTTGTTCTTCCTCTTCATCATCGTCACTATCGAGTTCTGGACCTATGTAGTTACCGAACTCATCATAAAGGTCAGTATCCATGGTTGCTCTGGAATATACGAATAAGCAATGGACACTATTCAAAAATCACTTTTTTATTATAAAAAAAAAACAGACCGGTACAAAACATATTTTAAGGTTAGCTTATGTTGTTTCATTTGTTTTATTATAACGAAAGGCGTTTAAAACAATCAAAGATAAAATACCTAGAACTTTGGTAAAAAAATTCTAAATAAGAAATGCCGTAAAAAAATACTTACAAGTGGGCTCTACTTTAAAAAAGTGATATTACTGCACACACTCACACACAGAAGAATGGACACAGATATTACGAAAACGATACAAAAACGTTTCTCAATTATTTTAGGTTAGTTTGTTTTCCTTCTATGAATGATTTAAATCACAGGATGACAAAATATTTCATATCAAGTTTAAGTTGATGGTTCCAAATGCGATCCTGTTACGCTATTGGTTACTGTTAGTACAGGACACGAACAACCAATAAGAGTGCCGTGTAAAAATACCAAATCACTCAAATCAGACCGATTTTACCTATGAATTCACACCAGAACGCGCTTGATATTTTCCCTAGGCGTATTCGTTAGAACATTTTCAGAAGTGTTCCATTGGATGTCGACTTTAAAGATGGACCCACTGACATTTCAATAAGTAGATAGAGTAGAAAACATGTGAAAATTGTAAGACTTATTGGTTCGTTCATTCGCTGCAAGATTGCTCTAGTTACTCATTCGAAAATTAAAGTTAACTGCATAATATCAATTCTACCCCGTTCTTTAGATTGTAGGAACAGTGATGTTTCTTTTAATAATATATTTAATGTGAGTATTTTATTGGCGAGTACATTGCAAAATAAAACAAATGCAATTTATTCGTCAACATCGACGTAAATATTATATTTTTTAAATAGAAAAATTGGTAAATTTCATTATTTTCAATAAAACTTAGTTTTGTAGGTGTTTATCAATGTTGTCCTATATATAAAAAAACGCCCTTATATGAAAAATGGAGGTATAGAAGTTTCTAGAAGTTTAGGTTAATTTTATTTTAAACGAAATAAATACATGGGATAAAAAACTAATTGTAAGAAACGCTTTCAAATAGGTACATAATTTTTTTAACGTCAATAAAAAATTCTATAATTGCAAATATGCATGAACAAATTTTTTCCATATAAATAGAATTTTTGAAAAAGTGTTGAACATATAAACTTCAAAATAACAGTATAAATAAAGCCTTATTTTCTTCCTTTTCACATTTTTTGTCGATATGCACATTTCCAGCCGTAAATAAATGAAATAATGTAAATGTAGGACAACCGACTAGGCTGTTAAAATGTTCATACCTTAAATAAAACCTTATTATACTAAACTTATGGCTTTTTACTAGAAATATGTTATATTTCTTGCGCTAAAAGCTTCCGAATTCGTTGATTGAATCCCATCACATAAATTAATCAAGGAAATGAATGTTTAATATCCATCTACATACACTAAGGGGCGAAAGGGTCCGATAGCATATAGAGGAGGCTTATATGAAGAAGGGGAAGCACCCTCTAACATATGAGTCATCCCCTCTAGTGCGAAGTTTCCATTTTATGTACCCACGCATTAGGATATTTATTTGTTGGTAAACACAGTTTTTGGTTTGATGTTGAACTGGAAAAATGTAACAATATAAAATTTGGTCCGATGAATTTTCAGTTCATAATCGTTTTTTGTTAGGTTAAGTAGAAAGTTGCTCGTGCCAAGTAGCAACTCGAAAAGGTGGAAGTCATAAACGATTGAACTCGAAAATTGCCACGACATGCGTGTCAAAAATAATTTGGCAAGTTATACTGTGTATAAGTAAAAAAAAATGTGAACCACCAAAGTTATTGGTTGTACTTATAAGGTAGGTACGATAACAGATAAGTTAAAGCAAAGGCTAACGGTTGTCCATAAATTTTGACGATAGAAGGCCATCAGAATCTAGGAGGCATTGCGATCGATGGATGCCCTCAGATCTGACAAAATACGCATTTACATATCATGTTTTACATTCATTATCGTATTATAATAAGTAGCTTTACCTACTAAAATATTACTATCTACAGTTTTACAATAATGTGAAAGAAATCTAGCTACCCCATTAAACAAAACAAGTGTGTATTGTTTAAAATAGCTATTGATAAAGTTAATACATATTGGCCATATTAGAAGATGTGCTATTTCCGATTAATATACTTACCTACGGTTGAAGATATTTTTAAATAGGTAAGTACCTGACTGTATATTGTATTTCCACATTTTATTCGTTTTATTGTCGATAAAATTTAGTTTGACCCTTTAACCGAAAATATACGGACCGTTTTAAGTAATAAAATGTTTTCGTATGGTAGGTTTAATGTTGCAGAACAAAAATTTTGACGTTCACTTTAGTTGATTCATAAATAAATTCATGCTGAAAATTGAGCAAAAAAATAAAGTTTTACATAATTATTTACAAAGGTGTGCAAAAAAGGTGAGGATACATTTCAGCGTAAATTCGACATGCTTCTAAAGAGTTGTCATTGGCAAGTGCATATAGATCATTTGCGGGGTTAGTGTAATTTTGTAGAGTGACTAAATGGGTCAAATTTGTACAAAAAAAGTAACGGCAATAATACTGAAAATTGGTAAGATCTAACATATAAAGCAAATGTCATATTTTGCATGCTAAACATAGATTTGATAGTTTACTATGGATGGAGCCAATGCTGACTTTCTGTACATTGTGGCCGATTCAACATAAACTGTAAAAGCGGCAACGATTTGCCCTAAGTCATGTGACCTAGGATACAAATGGCGCGACATTGATTTAAAAAGACTATTTCTGATTAGGAAATTGACTCTATTTTTGTAGTAACACAACAATTAAAATATTTACTGTCACATCTATATGTAAAATAGGCAATAACACTTAATACCACGCCATGGATATAACAAATCGCGCCTGCAAATCCCCAAGTCACGTGACGCGAGAGTAGTTTCATCTTATTTTACATCTTGGGCCTCTACCCTCTCTCTCTACAGTCCATCCATAATATAGGTAGGTACTATCAAATCAATGTTCCAACATGAACTACAAAAGCGATTTGCCCTAAGTCACATGACCTAAGATACATTGATTTAAAAAGAAACCCTATTTCTGATTAGGAAATTGACTCTTTTTTGCCAGTAACACAACAATTAAAATAATTACTGTCAATTATATATGCAAGATACCCAATAACACTTAATACCACGTAATGGATATAACAAATCGCGCGTGATAAGCCTGCTAATGCCCTAAGTCACGTGACGCGAAACTAGTTTCGTCTCACTTTACATCTTGGCCCCTTACCCTTTCTCTCTACATTCCATCCATAGTATACTGTCAAACTATGATGTTAAATGTCATTGTTACATAATATCTACTGGTATAAAGCATTACTTTGTACCTACTGGCCCAAAGCGATCTACTAATCTATAGATGCTATGATATTTAACCGGTAGAGTAGTTTTCCACTAACCAATGATTAGTTATTAAGGGGGCGATTTAGTATGTATATTTTTACCGTGTAACAGAGCTTCAGATGAGGACACAAATCATCGAAGAAACTAACATAATTGAATATTATTATATATCAATGTATTCGCAAAGGTTCCCGCTAGTGAGTGAGATAAATTTCAATACTCATGAGAACAGAAGAATAATTTAAATAAATGCCAAAGTACCTCAATTTTAACCATACTGTTAGTCTGCCAATATATTCCATTTACAACGGAACTAGGTTAGGCACAATAACCAAACTACTTCACTCACTAGAACGGACACCTAGGATCATTTGTATTTAATTTTCAGATTAATATTTATTAATAGTTCTATAATTTGTGTCCTCAAGTGAAATGACAACATTTTATACACGACTCCATTTTTAATATGTATCTAAACTAGAATTGTCGAGTTTCCTACCTATTCACAAGATATTTTTAATTTCTTTCGATATAATTAGTTTGTACACTCTCTCACAGGTGTCGCTACCCTTGAAAATGAAAGTGAAAACACAGAGTTGGTTTATTATAAATGCGTCCTAAAATAAAGCATAATGGTTTAATATTATCTTTGATATACCTAGTAGTACTAAGTAGTACTAAGTACTAAGTAATGATTTTGTAAAGCTTAAATAGTACGAAAATATAACGCATAAAAAACCAATAATATGTACTAATTTTTCTTTATTAAGAATACAGATTAAATTTTACGTACAGGGTGTCCCACATAAAATCGTTATTTATGTTTAAATAAATTTACAGCTTAAAAATTAGCCTGGCTCAGATAGATTTCTTCTTCAATCTACAAATCTACAAATCTTCAAGCTACTTACCGGTAAGAAGGAAACCACTGGATATTTAATGAAAAAAGTTACGACCAAAAAAATTATACATTCTTGAATATAAATATAACTAACACGATTTTAATTTCATATTGTCTTGACAATCAACTTTTGCTTATTTTTAGTCACTTACTATCGAAATAAATGAAATAAACCTCTGAGTTTGGAAACCGATATTAAGAAAACGTTGGGGCAAAAAATTTGAAATTTGGACCATATATAGCCTCACTATTACTCTATTGTGTGCTAAAATTTCAGTTGGTTTCGTTATCCCATTTGTTAGTTATTAATGAAAATGTTGAAAAAATCACGGTTTTCTGCATATAAAATTATTGGTACCTCTCACTTTAACTCGTCGTAATTTTTTTGTTAACTGATAAAAAAAATCCAATTTTTACTAACGATAAGTCGAACTATTGCCTTTAATACTGTAAAGGTCATTTGTCTCAAAAGGTCTTCTTTTTTTATTTTTAAGTGAAACATAAGGGAGTGCTATCTCCGTAAATATGGCATTTTTTAAAAAAAAACTGACAGGTAGCAAATAACTGTAAACAACAATTTGAAAAAATATGTTAAAATAATACAGTTATAAATATGATATTCTTAAAAACAGTATCGGAATGGTCAATTACGGTCACGGTCCGATGCAGAGTATATAGTATAGCCTTTATAACTGTATTATTTTAACAAATTTTTTCAGATTGTTGTTTACAATTATTTACTACTCGAGTCAGTATTTTTCTTTTTTTAAAGAATGCAATATTTATGGACCCCCTTCTGTTTTGCTTAAAAAAAAAAAAAAAGATCTTTTGAGACAAATGACCTTCACAGTACTAAAGACTATAGTGCGACTTATCGTCAGTAAAAATTTGAATTTTTTTTATCAATTAACAAAGAAACTTACGGCGAGTTAAAGTGAGAGGTATCAATTTTATAGGCAGAAA